AAAAAAAAATAAGGCAAGCAATAACAAATAAATTTAAATTTGCATCATGACTACCTTAGGACATGGAGAATTATGATCAACTTCAGCAAATGATCGTTGTAAATTATACGTCAGAGTAAAGTGAAAAAAAAATTTATTTCTGTAAAAAAATAATAACTTGAGCTATGTTTTTTATAAATTTAAATTAGGAGTATTTTATTTTTTTTCTTCATTTTTATTGAGATTTTTTTGATTAAACATAATTAAAATATAATAAAATATAACCAAAAGTAATGACTAAATTAAATAAATTTAAAAAATGATATTTAAAGAGAGAAATTTAGATCGATCCGCCACAAATCCATACTATTCCAAGATGGTGTATAATATTAATGAACTCGAAATTATAGAACAAGTTCCAAGAAAGATAAAATATAAAAAAAAATTAAAAAAATAAATAAAAATAAATAAATAAGAATATATAAACTTTCAAAGGTAAATCAATATACAGTAACTTCTATAATTCTGACTTTTAAATTTTTTTAAAAAATTTATAAAATTAAAACTATATATAATTTATTTTCATTATAAATACTAGCACTATATTTTTTTAATTATTGAAATAAATATATATTGTAATTAAAACAATATTAATAATTATTCCAATTAATATTATTAATATCAAAATTTGAAAGTCGAATTGTTGGTAACGGGACACTTATAATTCGAGGCAAAAGTTTACTTATGAGAGATTCTTCAGAATGGTCATCTTCAGTATATAGTAATTTAGAATCTACATTTTTTATTTCCTGATCTGCCTTTAAAAACATAAGTGAATCTTTTCGAGATTCATTTATAAACAAATTAAACATCCAATTATGCAATATATCAGAAATCATTTCAATACTTGGTCGTTTAAATGGATCTTTATGCCAACATTTTTCCATTAACTCTATGTAACATTCAGGTATTCTATTATAAACTGTTGGTCGGAGTCCTTTATCTATATCATTAGCTAATTCTATAGAATGTGTTCTGTCAGCAAATGGAACTTTACAAGTTAATACCACCCACATTAAAATTCCAACACTATAAATATCAGAAGCTTGATTACATTGATTTTTAAATAATTTTTCTGGTGCAACATATGGCAATACACCAAATTTTTCCGATAATAAAATTTCATTTGCTGGTCTACATAATCCTAAATCTCCAAGCCTAATAAATCTTATATCATCATATGTTTCAGCTATCATAAGGTTACCAGGATGAAGATCGCCATGAACAAATCCTTTATTGTGAATGACTTTTAATCCTCTAATAAAAGAATTCAACAGCCCCAACCGTTCAATCCAAGGTAATAATTTATTTTGTTGAAGAAAATTTATAAGATTTCCATCTTTCATATATCGTAAAACCATTGCATATTCTTTTGTTATTGGATCTTGTGTTATACCAAAAATTGGCAAAATATACTTATTTTGACATTCAAAATTTACAATTAACTATATTGCAAGGTAATAAAATGAAAAATATTGTAAGTATATTGATATATTAATATATTAATGTATTTAATATTTACCTCTTTCAAAAATTCAGAACAGATTTCTTGTGAATTTCTAAGCTTTTTCAAAGCAACTTGATTTGTATTATACAATTCAAATAATTCTTCAGGCATATCTATCCATTCTGCTTTCCAAATATTTCCAAACCCTCCTTTAGTTAAATATTCTACATTTTTGAATTTTCCATAGCCTATCCATCTCCAAATTTTAGTTTCCTTTGCATTTTCGTCTAACTGGGTCATTAGGATGATCTTATCAATTTCATAATTACCACTAGTCCATTTTGACATATAAATTTTTTCCATAAGTTTACAATTTGGACATGTATTTTTAGAAATATTTAAATTTCCACAATTATGACATCTGCCAAAATTTTGAGAATATTTTTTACAGATTTTACTACAATCATTTGCTTGCCAACAAATACTGCAGTAAAAATTTTTATCCATCAAATTTTCAATGTTTTTTAAATTACTAATAGATAATAGATTAAAATTTCCTTCATTCACATTTTGTATTTGATATTCCCTTATTTTTGGTATTCCAATTTCATTTTGATAGCAATATTTAATAAAGTATTGTTTAAATTTATCTTCTTTAGCTGATTTCAAATACCACTGAAATGCCTTTTCTTCATCTTTAGCAGTTCCTATTCCAATTTCATAACAATAACCAAGATTAAATTGTCCATGACTATTCCCACCTCCAGCTGATTTCAAGTACCACTGAAATGCTTTCTCTTCATCTTTTGTGATTCCAATCCCATGTTGGTAACAATAACCAAGATTTTTCTGTCCACCATAGTTTCCCCCTTCAGCTGATTTCATGAACCATTGAAATGCTTTCTCTTCATCTTTTGTAGTTCCAATCCCATATTGATAACAAAATCCAAGATTATACTGTCCCTCATTGTTTCCCCCTTCAGCCGATTTCAAGAACCATTGAAATGCTTTCTCTTCATCTTTTGTTGTTCCAATCCCATAATAATAACAATCACCAAGGTTATTCTGTCCATGACTATTTCCCCTTTCGGCTGATTTCAAGTACCACTGAAATGCTTTCTTTTCATCTTTTGTGGTTCCAATCCCATGTTGGTAACAATAGCCAAGATTATTCTGTCCAACATAGTTTCCCCCTTCAGCCGATTTCAAGAACCACTGAAATGCTTTCTCTTCGTCTTTTGTTGTTCCAATCCCATAATAATAACAATCACCAAGATTATTCTGTCCACCATAGTTTCCCCCTTCGGCTGATTTCAAGAACCACTGAAATGCTTTCTCTTCATCTTTTGTGGTTCCAATCCCATAATAATAACAATCACCAAGATTATTCTTTCCATGACTATTCCCACCTTCAGCTGATTTCAAGTACCACTGAAATGCTTTCTCTTCATCTTTTGTGGTTCCAATCCCATGTTGATAACAATAACCAAGATTAAATTGTCCATGACTATCCCCACCTTCAGCTGATTTCAAATACCACTGAAATGCTTTCTCTTCATCTTTAGCAGTTCCTATTCCAATTTCATTACAATAACCAAGATTAAATTGTCTATGACTATTCCCACCTTCAGCTGATTTCAAGTACCACTGAAATGCTTTCTCATCGTTTTTTGTTATTCCAGTTTTATTATTACTTGCATTTTCCATTTATGTATAGATAGCAAATAGTTGATAAATTTTAATTTAGAATAGAACTTTAAAATTCAATTTATTGATAAAAAGACAAACTTAATTAAATACTTCAATTATTATGCATGTATATTAGTTTTCATATAAAATATGGAATTATGAGTAATTAATTTTTCGCAACTAGTAATCTATAAATTTTAATCTTTTCTATTGCACAATTTAAAATTTACACTTTGAAATTTATTATTATTTGTATTGAGTTCATCTTAGAATATTCCTTAAAGTTCATTTTTCCGTTTAGGATGATCACATTTCTGCATGGAATGTTACAATCTGCTCTGCTTTATTTTATTTCCATTTATATACAACTAAAAATTTATTCTATATAAAATTTTTCAATTTTTAGATAATAATTCTGTCAACAAAAAAATTATTAAGTAATATTGTTTTATATCAATTTATTAAAGGCTAATTAATTGGTTGTGTTTTATTTATACTTTGTTCATTTGATATTAAAAAATTATTTATTAAATGTAAAAATATTAAGTCCTATTTAATATTTAATAGAATTTACCAAAAAAAATACTTAGTTTTTAAATATCTATTATTTCTCTTTGTCTTTAAGTAATAATTATTGCTCTATATCTTTACAAAAATGTAAATATCTAAACATCCGAAAGAATTGTAACATAAATTAGTTTATTCAACTATTTAATGATGAGTTAATAAGATAGGCATTATTTTATGTAATATAATAATGAGAGGCCTATATCCTTTTTCACCAAAAAATTTCCTTTACGTGTCGTGCTATTGGTATTACCAACTGGACCAGACATTTTTTTTTATTATTAGTATTTCCTTATCATTATTATCTTATTATTATTTTTTGTTTAATGTTTTATGCATAGATTTAAATTTACCAATGTTATTTTATTGTTAATTATCAAATAAATAATTATTTTTATTTTATTATTGAATAATGATTATTTTATACCTAAAGAGTATGAATAAGAGAGATATATAATTTATGAATTTACAGAATTTTCTTATATATAATATATACTTACTAAATCTCGATGAACAATATTTGCTTTATGCATATAACATAAACCATTTGTTATATCCTGAGCCATTTTAATTTTTAATTTTCCAATCAAGATCTTTGAAGTTATTTCGTACGTAAGTTTACAAATCGACGTCTTCAGCATATTGCAACACTGAGTTGCATTTCTCTGTTAAATTGTCTAAATTAAATAATAATAATAATATCATTATAATTATTATCAAATATTAAATATTTAAAAAATAATGTTTAAATAATTTTACCAATACTGACCCATAAAATTTTGTAAATAATAGTTTAAAAGGCAATTATTTTTAATTTCGTCTCAAAAATGTCCTTAATTATTTATTGCCTCATTAATAAATACTTTATAAAATCATTACTATTTTCATCGTGCATACATTTTAATGCAGCTTTTTGTTCGAAATCTTTCGAATAGGCGCGACTGACTACACCAAATGCTCCGCTCGCAATTATTGTGAAATCTTCAAATGTATTATAATCAAATTTTTTAATCAATCGATTTTCTGCAATTCGTGTCAACCATGAGAAGGACATCTTTTTCGAATGAGAATCAAAGTTGGAGATTAAATTAAAGAACAAGATTAGATTATTGTCTAATATGGAAACGTCAGTGTTACTTCGAATCCTAAAGAAGAAATTCATTTTAAGAATTAAAAATAACGAGTTACATAAATCCCTACGACCATTGAAGTTGATTTTTTTATTAATTAAAGTTTAGTCTAAGCTAAACAAAAAATAACAAAAAAGAATAGAATAAAGCAACTATATCGAACATTCGAAGAAATCAATAAAATAAGTTGCGTAGGTAATTGGTTTAACGGTTATTTACTAGTTTATATAAACGGACGAAATGCCTTAGTTGCATAACAATATTTCATTAAAAATATTAATACTGTGCTGAACACTTTCACTTAGAAGCCAGAAGGTAGTTAAACGTAATAAAGTTCTGAGTTTTTTACTATAATTTTTTATCTTTGTAAATCTAATTGAACTAAAAGCAAACTTGATTATTTTCTACGTAATTACAATTTTTCATTAAATTCGTTTCAAACCTTGCAATCAACTATGCAAAATGAAATAATCTTTAAAATAATCAAGGCGGCAGCCGATGAATGTAAAAGTTGCAACTAAGGTGTTTTTAAAATTTTACTATTTTAATGTTGATCAATTATAAAATTTTTTAAATTTCTTCCTTTTCTTAGTTTATTTATTAATAGATGTTTTCCTACAAACATAATAACAATTATTGAATTTTAATAGAATTATATATCTATTGCTATCTTTGCTTTTTCGACCATCTTTTTACTATTAATTTTGTCCGGCTACTACGAAGCAACTTTTTTTTTTTTTTGTTTTCTTTCAAATTAAAGTTATTTATTACTTCAAGGCCATCTGAACTAATTTTCATCGTCGCGCAATTGCATAAATTATGGTTCAGTATTTTAATAAATATAATTTGTATAAAAGAATAAAGAAAGGAAAACGAGTAATCAATAAATGGAAAGGCAAATAACTATTTATATATTTAGAATAGATTTTATTTTTTAAATTATTAAAAATAGGTATTATAAATTATTTAAATTCGATTTTTCATTATTGATTACTTAATATAAAAATAATATCTAAATTCGTAGTTTCATAACTTTATTGTTTATTATATCTCTTTATTTCTTTTTAACGAATATTAATTTAATAATATAAAAATAATAACTAATAAATTCACATACCTCTATACAAACAAAAGAAGTTGTTATTTGTAATTGTTCTAATGCAAAAAAAAACATAGATTCAAATGGAAGATTGGTTTCTATATCCACATGATCTCAGTGTAGTAAAATCAAAAAAGAACAAAAATATAAATAATCCTCAAGTGATAACTTTGATTGAAAGTGGATCCGTGCGAAGATTTATTATTAAATAAAGATAAAGACAATATCTTATTAAATAAAAATGATGAACGTTTTATCTTGGGCGACGAAAGTGCCGAAGATTTATAATTAAACAAAGATGAATGTTTCTTGTGATAGCATTTTCATCATGTCGAAAAAAATACAGAGTAATGACAAGGAAAGTAGAAAAAACCGTATGCTAAACTAACTATAGGCTGGTATTCACCAAATAAATATTATCGTATGTTCCGAAGTTCGAGGAAATTGCCTTCCTAATTAATTTGTATAAATTAGGTCTGAATGGCTAATTTGTTTTGTATTACTTGAAATAAAACTAAATTTTTCATCTAACCGTTACTACTTTATTTTAAAAAAATAAACTTTAACCTTACATACTATAAATGAATAAAAATGTCATCCGATGAAATATGCTCAGAATGCAATCAAGAATATGCTGACGAAGAGTTTACTACAAATGCTGCAAACCATGTAATTCGAAACATTTCAAAGATAATTTTGATAAATGGACAAGTGGGAATGAAACAATAGATAAAATTATTCAAAATGCTCAATTAAATGCAAGCGTGGGGAAATAATAGAATGGATACCTTATGATAGATTAAAATATATTAAACAAACAGCAAGAGGAGGATTTGGAACAATACATTTAGCTGAATGGTTGATGGACGGGTGCGAAAATGGAATATTGAAAAATCAACAGTGGAAAAGATGGGGCAAACATAAAGTGATATTAAAAAAGTTTGATAATTTTGCAAATTTAAATGAAGAATTCTTAAATGAGGTGAAATATTTGTTTAATATTTTAAATTCGATTTCCAAATTTTATAATAATATATTAACTATATTAACTATATATTAAAAAATATATAGATAGTCATTCACTTAAAAACATTGGATGCAAATGCTTCAATTCTATTTTATGGAATATACAAGATCCAGAAGCAAACAATTATATAATGGTTCTGCAATATGCTGAAGGTTGAAATCTTAGAGATTATTTAAAAATAATTTTAATAATATAAATCGGAAAAATAAATTTGATTGTTTATATGATTTAGCGGATAAATTTCGATATATTCATAAATTAGGTATAATTCATCAGGATTTACACCCTGGAAATATTTCATCATACGATTTTATAGATGGTAATTTAAATATTTCAGATTTTGGATTAAGTAAAATAATTGGACAAAATGCAAATAATCCCGTAAAAAAAAATATTTTTGGTGTATTACATAAATAGATTCAGAGGTGTTAGATGGAAAGGAATATACAAAAGCTGCTGATGTATATTCTTTTGGAATAATAGCTTACGAAATGGTTACAGGCCTTCCCCAGATTATGATATCCCACATAAAAAAGATTGTCATGAAAATCTGTAATGGATTACGACCAAAAATTCCATTCTACACTCCAAAATTACAGTAATTACCAGAATGATTACGAGATGTTGGATGCTAGAGTTACTCATAGACCCACTTTTTTTTTGAATTATGTCGAGAGTTTTGGAGATACCAGCATGATTATAAAGAAAATAATCATGAAAATAAAATAGGCCGAAGAATTTTTCCACGTCAGCCAATACAACAATTACAACAATTACAAGCTCACTTAATTATCAAACTCATCCACAAGCAATTTATAACGGTCGACTTCTTAATTTTTCAAGTCTTTCAAAATCCAAGAACGAAGAAAATTTCGAAAAGGAACTTGAAGAATTAACTAAATCTATAGATGATTTAAACACTAGTAAGTATAATTATATTTTTTTATTATATTAATTAATTAATTTATTTTTTATCTTATTTAGCTGATTCCGGAATGATGGATTTGAATATGTCCAATTTTAATTCAAGATTTATTTATTATTATATTTTATTACTTTTTTTTTAAAACACTATTCAATGAATTAGTATTTATTTATTTGCATTTAAAAAATCTTAATACCAAGATTGGACAATCACAACTCCACTCAATTACCAAACACATCCACAAATAATTTATATCAGTGGACTTAATTTTCAAGTTTTCTAAAAACCTAAGAACTTGAAGAATTAACAAAATCGATGGATTATTTAAAAACTAGTAAATGACGATTATTTTTTTTGTAAATTTTTATTTTATATTTATTTTTACACCTATTTATATTATATTAATTTATATTTTTGAATGTGTCTAATTTTTAAATTCGATATTTTATTTTTATTATATTTATTATTATTTCTTTTTAAAAAAAATTATCTTGATACAATTATGAATTAGTATTTATTTGCATTTACAAAGAATCTTAATGCCATAATTAGCGCATAAATTCTTTATCAATTCAATTTGTAGTAGGAATTTTTTTTTACATACATAAATATTAATAAAGGGAATCGGATTTATATTGATTATTACCAAATGAAAATTTGCAATAATGTATATTTTTAATTCCACAATTAATCATAATATTACTTTACTAATCATTAAATTTTTATGAAAATTTATCAAACTTTCGATGATACAATATTTGTTTTTGCATAATTGGACGTTCCGATTGTCAATTAACCAATTTATTAGTACATATTTTCTTACATCTTGGGTTTTAATTTCAGATAAATAAGATTAATCTTTTGTATTTATTACATACCTTGGTGATTGATTCCAAATATATTATGGTTATATCTTTAATAATTTTTTTTAATATTACTTACCTGGATTGATGATGGATTCCATGATAAGATATTTATTTTAATATTTGGATTTCATAATGAGCTCTTTATTTTTTTGTTAATATTACTTATATGATATGTTTCTTGGAATTGATGAATCACGAAAATAATTAGGTAAGATCTTTATTTATTTTTTTTTAATATTTTGAAAATTTATTTTAATAAAATTGACAACAATTATCACAATTATATTAACAAATAATTATAAAAATAGTTTGAGCACAATTATTGTAGAATTAATTCAAAATACATTTAGATTATTGATTAATTCCATATGGACTGGTGAAACTGAACGAATCCTGGAGTAATACCATAATGGTTTCAGCAGAATTTCATAAAGGATTGAATCAATCAACGGAAGTATTGTAATACTCTAAGGTGAAAATTAATCAACGCCATAGAATTATTCAAAGTATGGAACGAAGAAGGTCTGAAAACTTCGTTCATCTTCAAACTCCTCAGGTAAGATTGGGATTGGGATATCTTTGCGGAAAATTAAATTTACTGATTTAATAATTTAGATTTCAGGATCTGAACAAATACCATTTGCAAATATTACCTCAACTATTTGAAATCTCTTTAAAAAATCTTCAATAAGACAATGGCTAAAATAAACTAAACCTTGATGAAATATGTTATTTTGTAAAAATGCACATCCGTGAGCTTGAGAGAATATAAGACAAACAACAGTTAAAGTTTTTACAATAGAAGTAGTGATTGCAAAGCTAATAGGTAGATTGATAGTTGATATGGAATAACTGCCATTTTTTACTATGTAAAATGGTCTAGGATCCCAGAAGGCATGGTTTAATGATTTATTCCTTCCTCTTCTACTTCATGATTCTATCTTCCAGTTAGCCAAATATTAATTACATAGTAGTTAACGTTAAATAATTATTATTACTATTAATAA